TTTTTGTCTTTCTTTTTGTAGATATGATGGATGATGTTGATGGATTTTCAAATGTTGTAACATCCTTGCATCCATGGGATGAATCCCACTTGGTTACGGTGTACGATCCTTTTGATATATTTTTGAATTTGCTTTGCTAATATTTTGTTGAGTATTTTTGTATCTACATTCATCAGGGATATTGGTCTGTATTTTGTTTGGGAGTATTCCCTCCTCTTCTATTTTTTGGAAAACTTTAAGGAGAATGGGTATTATGTCTTCTCTATATGTCTGATAAAATTCAGATGTGAATCCGTCTGGCCTGGGGGTTTTGTTCTTGGGTAGTTTTTTGATTACCACTTCAATTTCATTGCTGGTAATTGGTCTGTTTAGATTTTCTGTTTCTTCCTTGGTCAGGCTTGGAAGGTTGTATTTTTCTAGAAAGTTGTCCATTTATTCTAGGTTACCCAGGTTGTTAGCATATATTTTCATAGTATTCTCTAATAATTCCTTGTATTTCTGTGGTGTCCATAGGGACTTTTCCTTTCTCATTTCTGATTCTGTTTATGTATATAGATTCTCTTTTTCTCTTAATAAGTCTGGCTAGGGGTTTATCTATTTGTTTATTTTTTCAAAGAATCAGCTCTTGTTTTCACTGATTTTTTCTATTGCTTTATTCTTCTCTGATCTTTATTATGTCCCTCCTTCTGCTAACTTTGGGCCTCATTTGTTATTCTTTTTCCAGTTTCAATAATTGTGACTTCAGACTATTCATTTGGGCTTGTTCTTCTGAACCTACTTTTTTAACTGCAAATTTTATGAAATCTAAATACAGGTCAAGAATTTCCACTGAAAATTTAGCATCAGAAGATCTGATATGTAAGTGTAAATGGATGTCAATGGATGAAAAACAATTTTAAAATCATCCCACCCGTGGGTGGGACAAGTACCTGCTGCCGCTGTTCTCCCGCTTCTCCAACCCAGCTTCCAGTCTGCAGTGTAGCTGACTTCTCCTCCCACTCCTTAAATGCCATTGTCTCCCAAGGTTGTTCCTAGGCTCTTACCCCTCCCACACTAGGTACTCTGTCAGGTGAAGTCACCCTCACCCACGGCTTCCAATGTCCTCAGACTCTGAGGACTGTCATCTTGTTAAATGCAAACCAGCTCACTCTCATGAGAGCAGTGTGTTCCCTCTACCTACAACCAAGAACATCTGCACTTTAGCTGCCATGAGGTCCTGGGGACCCCTAACTCACTGTACCCTAAACCTAGCTGCAGGATTTCTCACCTTTGTCACTCCAATAGCATCAGAACGCCATCCTTGCCCCCCTTCAACTTCTTTTTACTGCTCTATTTCTAAAATACACACCTGGTCATATGATTTCTCTGTTTAAAATACTTTGGTGGCTTCCCCACTGCCTTCAAGATCAAATAAAAAATTCTTAGAATCATACCCAAGGCTTTGTGCTTCATCACTGACCCCAGAGAACCCCAACTCAGGCCCACATGAGCACGTGCATTTCCCTTAATACTAAGTTGTTTTCTCACCTGATGCTTTCTGCTCACAGGAATATCCTTCCTTTAACTCTGTCCCTCCTCTTCCAGTAACCCTGTAAAATTCAGCTGACACATCCCTTCCTCCAGGAAACACGTCCAAACCACCAGGTCTGGTCTGAGTAGGTGTCCCTACTCTGTCACCATCACACCTAAGAACAGCTCTGCCAGGCACCAGCCACATCAGCTTGGAATGATCTGGTTACCCTGGAAGAAGCAATTTAAGTTTTAACTTTATGTCCCTATGCTATACTTAGTAAGTACCTATTGATAAGTGGACATGGCATTACATAAGAGAAAACCACAGGATAAAGTACAAGGCTAGAAATTTAAATTTAGGCTCATACAGTCATGAGTTAAATGAAGAAAGTTAACCCAATCACCCTAAAAACCCTTTATAAAATGGCCTATTTCAGGATTAGTGAGCTGGCCAATACAAAAACACATCTTAAATGATCATTAAAATACCAGATACTCAACAAAAGCAACAATTTAAAAAATCAAAGACTATATATGTTAGTGTTTCTATAACTTTGTTTTTCATACCCTTTCTTCCCTGATTCTATTCATCAGTTCCTCTCTTCAGCTCTTTACATAAATTTCCTTCCAATGAAATTCTGCCCTCTTTCCTGCCCTCATCCAATTCTTTTCACTTCTGTTGTCCCTTCAGTAATTCTTTCACCTAACAGTAAAGTACAAATACTGTCTTCGTCATCTCTGTGAGCACCTTTGCATAAAACAAAGGAACAGTAAAAAGCAGTGAGTGGAATGACATCACCAGGTTGGTAGACAAAACCATACGTATTACTCCAGGTGGGTAACTTCATATTGCTAAACAGTAATCTGAACCACATGCATGCTAAGTGGAGCCTGACAGGCACCAGCCAGTCCTCGGGGTTACTGCAGCAGGACAGAGGGGGTAAGAGAAAAGAACAGCACATGTGCTGGTGCTGAGGGCAGCCGTAGCTTGGCCTTACAATGTTCTCTGGCTTGTGCTGCCCTGAAAGAGAAAGCAGAACACCGGGGAATGCAGGAAGCTGTCAGCTATCTAGACCTGCACAGCCTGTAACTAGTCTGACAGCATGAGCAGCCAGCTAGTAGTACCAGTTGCTCATCTGTGCACTGGTGGGGGACCAACCTTGGGAGACAAAGGAAGGACTGCTGCTCCCAGGGGACTTTCGGATTCTGCTTTTTACAGACTAGGTCCCAAGAGAGGCAGAGAAGTATACCTGGAGGAGAATTATTTAAGTTTTAAACCAGGTTAGTAGGGAAAAACAGCTTTTTGAAGGAGAGCAATGGCTCAAGGAACAGAGTACATTCTTTTAATTAGCTGCAAGTAACTAGTATTTGAAAAGTATTCAAAGCCACACCTGAGGTCTCACAGACATGGGGAAATGCACCCAAGCCCAGTTATCTTATGGAGTTCACAAACAAAAATGGCATCTCTTGAAGATAGGAACAGTAAAAAGCAGTGAGTGGAATGACATCACCAGGTTGGTAGACAAAACCATACGTATTACTCCAGGTGGGTAACTTCATATTGCTAAACAGTAATCTGAACCACATGCATGCTAAGTGGAGCCTGACAGGCACCAGCCAGTCCTCGGGGTTACTGCAGCAGGACAGAGGGGGTAAGAGAAAAGAACAGCACATGTGCTGGTGCTGAGGGCAGCCGTAGCTTGGCCTTACAATGTTCTCTGGCTTGTGCTGCCCTGAAAGAGAAAGCAGAACACCGGGGAATGCAGGAAGCTGTCAGCTATCTAGACCTGCACAGCCTGTAACTAGTCTGACAGCATGAGCAGCCAGCTAGTAGTACCAGTTGCTCATCTGTGCACTGGTGGGGGACCAACCTTGGGAGACAAAGGAAGGACTGCTGCTCCCAGGGGACTTTCGGATTCTGCTTTTTACAGACTAGGTCCCAAGAGAGGCAGAGAAGTATACCTGGAGGAGAATTATTTAAGTTTTAAACCAGGTTAGTAGGGAAAAACAGCTTTTTGAAGGAGAGCAATGGCTCAAGGAACAGAGTACATTCTTTTAATTAGCTGCAAGTAACTAGTATTTGAAAAGTATTCAAAGCCACACCTGAGGTCTCACAGACATGGGGAAATGCACCCAAGCCCAGTTATCTTATGGAGTTCACAAACAAAAATGGCATCTCTTGAAGAGCCTTCCACCTGGCAGGATAACCTAAGTGTGTTTGAAAAAGTTTCTAAACCATCACAGAACCAGCTGGCAAAGCTGTGCCTATAAACAATCAATTTAATGGGAAACGCTGGGGGAGAGGGACTCATACCCGCGTCCAGGAGTTAAGTCTTGGTTCTCCGGAATCCTGTGGCTCTTTACTCATCAGACAACAAAGGCACCACGTGAGAATTTGCTGGCTTTCATCTGCAAGGAGGGCAGAAATGAGCAGGTTTTGATAGATAGAAGGATAGGTAATCCAAATAGAAATGTTGTAAACAATATAGTTAAAAGAAATACATGTATTTTTTCAGGAAAATCTCAAACTACTAAGTTCACAGGTAAGCATCCAGTACCAGGTGTGAAACTCAACTTTGTGAGGATTCTGTTCCTGTGGATTTGGAATCATGGGAGCTTAGCCCTCCTGTGGCTGGTTCCCTTTCTGTACAACAGCAAGTTTTAAAGCCAAAAGGGAATGACGGAAAGAAACAAAAGAACCAGGCAGGCTTTCCTTAAAATCTCTGTTTCACATTGCAAACCATTTGCAATGTCACCCTTCTTAAGGCAACATACCTGTGACAGGCAGTAGTCAATATTTCTGACTTACTCTTTAAATTTTCTAATTTGCCAAAAATACACTCACTTATCAAAAACAAATTTAACAAAAGGAGTGTTTTAAATATGTTCTGTTGAGTACCAAATAGTTTGGATGAAATAGATAAAACAGAAACCTAATTCTTAACCAAAAAATTTAAAACTTTATCAAATATGTGATGTAAATGCTGAACACTGAAATCTTTTATTTGGCAAGAACATCTATTGGTGAGCCATTTCCTTTTTTTTCTTTTGGTAAATACGTACATTCTACTTGGAGGTTTTATATTATGACTGAAGCAAAAATGAGGTCTGAAAACTGAAGGTGTCGGTACCTGAACTAGAGCCCTGCAGCTGTGGGCTTTAGCCCAAGGCAGGAGGGGAAGCTGAGGAGACTCAGCAGCTGTATTCAGTCCTCCGAGAACTGCCGATGCCCTTCACCTTCCTATCCCTGCAATCTTGCAGGCACAGCATTTCCAAGGCCCATGTTACAAAGAAGTAAGGAACCTGCAAACCACAGCAAGCTACCTCTGCATTTCAACCACACGAAAGGATGCTGACAGCACGTTTTAAAGCCATGTTCTCCTCATAAACATCTGCTTAGGCTTTCCCAATAACTAACATCTCTGAACAAACTTGATCAGGACTTACTCTGACATTGACTTTTTTCCTAGTTTTTATGAGCTCAAATACATCACTGGCTTGCCTGAGATTTGTTTATTTCAATTATATAAATTAACCTCTGCAGATTCTAGGCTTCTTCAAATTGAACCAATGCTACTGATAAAAAAATGTGGCTGTTGTACTTCCTATGCTTTAATATTAGAAGAGATTCTAAGTGTCTTCACAAGAGTGAAAGATGCACCCCATGATTGTCTTATGCAAGCAGCTTCCGCCATTAAAAAGAATGCAACCTGAAGGGAAAATTTCCAAAAACCAGAACTCACTGCTAAGAGAGGAGGGTGAGAGAGAAGGAGAAAAAGAAAGAAAATGTTACTTTATGAAACTTAATCTAAAAAAATCCAAAAGGTGTAAGTTTCCTCCAGCTGGTGAATGATTCTGCACATTTAGATCAGTAAGTGTATTATTTAAAAAAAAAAAAAGAAGAGCCAGAGAAACTGTCACTTAGCCTTTAGGAGGTGCCTTTCCTTGCCCAGAGTTCCCACACAGAAGCACACAGAAGCATACTGCTGAGGAGCTTCCTCTGCTTTAGGGGTCTACAGACTCAAGCCGTGCCTTGTTATTCTGAGTGTCGTCAGCGCTCCTGAGGGGCTGGCAACCATCAGGCTCTCCTTTCCTCCCTGCAGGCACGCTCCCACACCCCCAAGGATAGGACGGAGCATCCTACAGGGCCTTTCAGTGAGATGGGGGCAGTCACTCATACATGTTGGTGCAAATTTGGATTCTAAGAATAAGTGGAAGGGACAGGTGTGGATAAAGTGAAGGTTCCTATAGGCAGGACCCTCACCTGACCCTAAACTACTTGATGATGGAACTGGCCTGCTGCTAGGCTACCGTTTCCACACCCACAGGCAATAAGCTATTATTGCACTATATAGAGAGCTTGGTCCAGTGCTCTGAGTGGAGGCAGAGACAAGGAGGATTACAGAAGGAGTTCTAGTGCTCGACCTATCATGGGGAGAACAAGCCAGGTAATAAACCCTTTCACCCCAGGACCATCCTACTGTCATCCCTCGGTCTCACTGAGTCCACAGTGAACTTGCCTGGGGCTGACCCAATAGTGAGACAACAGGAATCCACCAATGTGCATTTGCCACCTAATATTTTACTTGATATCTTAAACTGAAATTATAAATATGAGCTAAATTAATTCTATAATTTTAAAAGTATGAAGGCAGAATGTTTTCAGAGAATAAATATTTATTGTTCTAAGTGATCAGGTTATACAGCTAACAGTGAGGGGGTGAGGCTACAGCTCCCCTGCTCAGCCAGGAGGGCAAAGCCACAAACAATGGCCAAGGATGCCACACAGTAACAGCATCTCTCCCTCCCTATTACAACCTATTTTTATCTTCTCTTTGTGCTGTGTTCTTGCTTCCAAATCCTCTCTCCTACCTCATTATCCCTGTTTCTGATCCTGTTCTCACCTAATATTAAGTAAAACAAATGTTACAGCCTTCCTGGATGGAAACTTCCTCCTTTTACTGTACTTATAAGTAATTTTGATATTATAAAGCAGTAAGGAAAGAGCCTTCCCTGGAAGACAGTGAAACTACAGGGGTGGCATAGGCATGATCTGATTACTCATGATCTGTGCCTGTCGGTCAGTCCCTCCAGGAGCACAGAAGTGAAGGCACACCTCAACAGGTGACTGAAATCTAATGGACAGCTCTAAAGGTGACACACACAGGAAACAGAGAGGTGGAAAATGTTCCTGATTGTCAAGGGAAATAGGTAAGGGGAGATCACAGGCAGACACGAGTCTAAGGCGATCGGGGTAAATCAGCTCAGCCTCTCACTTTTGCAAATAAGGAATCTGAGACCTGGCGAGTCTGCTGACTTGTCTTAGGGAACCCCATCTCGTCTACTGTCCTCCAAGAACCAGCCCGGCATGCCCTCCCCTGGGAAACCCTCCTTCCCTTCGGCTCTTTGTTCAGAGCTCCACAATAGGAACCACTACTTTGAGTCAGGCTGATCAGCTTAGGTCTCTTTTATCTCTGACTAGAAGCTTCCAGGGGGCAGAAGTTTTGAGCCATGTTTTCCTAGATCTGGCATATGAAAAAACTAGTAATTCTCTATCAGGTGAATATATACATTCACATGAAGCTGGCTAGTGGTAAAGACAGGTCTGGAACACTTCAACCACAATGGCGTGATTACAGGAAGAGCATCACAGCAATGCAGGCTTTAGAGGGGCGGGACCCCGGCTCTTACCAATGCTGTGGGGAAAGCAACTTATTTACTCTAATCCTTAATTACTATCTTGCAAGACTCTCATCAAGAACTCAGTTAGATCCACAATCCACAGAAGACAGTGCCCAGCATAAAATGAACAATGCCTCTCATTTGACTACTATTCCACAATACCAACTTACTACATCTTAACATTTCTGAATTAGGGATATGTCTTACACCTACCACATACGCTTAAAGGGCACAGTATTTCTTTTTTCTTCCTAAAAATCAGTCATTGAATCCATGCAGTACTTAACAACGGGTGGTGCCTTTAACTGGGAGATATTCAGCTCTTGTCCTTTCAAGCCTGCCATCAGTATCAATGGCCAAGCTCAATGATTTTGATTTTGAGACTTTTGGTCATGATCCAAATTAGCTCTGGTTGTGAAATTAGCTCTGGGTCATGAAGATTAGTTTTAAAATAGTACAGTGAATATGGGTTGTGCAAAATAAAAATGAACATTCTTTCATGAAATGTGCGTGTGTAGAAGTATATGCATATGTATGCATACATACATACACATAGACATTACAGCACGCATACTTCTGGTCAGAGATGTCTGAGAAACACTGGGCTGAATGAACTGTATTACTTTAGGGAAGGGAAGTGTAGTCCTGGTAGGCAAATACAGTGATGGCTTTGCGTTTTAGATCAAGAACTTGAACAGGCTGACAGGGTGGGAGGAGGAAGAGTCAACTCAGGGGGAAAGAGGACATATGTGGAAAAGGGGGAGAGAGGTGAGGGTGGGGGTAGAGCAGTCTTCCAGGGCCTCAGACAGGCAGACCAACTATAAACAGTGTAGAAAGTGTTGTAATGCAGGGAGACACTGGTGGCAATGGAGACACTAAGAGAGGCTCCTAATGCAGCCCCAGCACAGCTATTTTGAAGGTTTGTAAGGACAAGAGCTGAGCACAGAGTTCTAGGCAAAGGAGTTGCACATCCCAGGCCCGCGTCTGTGACCTCAGGCTGTTAGTAATCTGACCTGGCTACACTGCAGGCGGTATAGTCCCTAAGGATTAAACAGGAAATGAGGCAGGACAGGTAGGAGTCAGGAGGTCAGGGAAGGAACATCTCCCCAAAGGGCCCACAGACTCCTCTTAACTTTGAGTAAAACAAAAATGTCACCCCTAAAGAATGGCAGAGCCATGAGAGGATATGGATTCTCAAAAATGATTTTACACATGCAAAACAGTGTGTTAATATGTAACAAATTATTTCATTGTTATACAGCCATTTTGCACTGAATTAAAAATGAAGCTATGCTAATCATCTGGAAGCTCTGCCCTATAACACAAGTTCTATTTTCCTACAGAACTGTGTGTATATGCATATGTGTGTTTATTTATATAGACATATACAAACATATATGGACAAGAATAAAGGATGCCATCTTTGTAATGGAACAACGAATACATTTGATAAGCTGTTTCATGAAAAACAGGAGAAAGGTTTATAATTTAAAACAATGTATTTTGTTAAACAATGAGAACGTTAGAATTATTAGATGTTTGTTATTTTGAGAAAACATGCTTGGGATTCTTACCATATGCCAAGATAAAAGGATTCCAGCAGGTTTTTGCCAACAGTTGACCAACTGTGGGGAATCTTTCCATGATAGTATGTGAATCCTGTAAAAGAAAATTATGTTTTGGTCAGTAAGAGGACACTTCGCAACTCGGAAAGACTGGGCTGATACTACAGGTTGACAGCTTAAATGCCTATTGTTTATATGTATTTTAGGAAAGTAGGAAAAAATATTAGAGAAGAGCTTTAGGTAAGTAATTCAAATAAAGTTTAACCAGCAACCACCTTGCTGCATCCTTTTACCAGGACACCAAAACTAAGTTATATGGCACACTGAGGTAAAATCAATACTGTTACAAAGTTTACTTTATTTTACTCAGGAAAGGCCTTATTTATAATAAGAAACTTTGAGGAAAGGACTTATTTAAAAATAACATAGATGCATATACTGGGAAAAAATTTTTTTGGTGATTACTAGCTATAATTCCATAACAACATTCTATTTTTTTATTCTAACATAATCAGAGAGTTTCCTAACTCAGCTTCAGTGAGGCTCTTTCAAAGATGGTTTAGGTCCAGAACTCTAGATGTTGTAAAAAGAAAGAAAAGCAGCCAAAGCATGAAGACATGTATCTGTGTTTACTGCTGTTTTGACCACTGCATGCTAAATAGGTCATACTCACCACACAACAACTTAAAATCTGAGACAAAAAAGCTCAACCAAGTAGAAAACAGCTTGAGGTTAAAAATATACATGCTGTTGTACAATTGGCCCTTTCCCACTTCTTTACCTTCCAACAAAGTTCAAAGCAAGACCACGCTGAAAGAAAGTGCATGTGAGCTCAAACAGTAAGCATTTCCTACTGCCACAGCAATAAACTCACATTCATCTCAGCATCAAGGCCAATCCTAGATTTCCTGGGACTACTTTAAGGTCAAGGCACAGAAGTCTTAATATAAAAAAAAATTTTTAAGTTGGCATTTGGACTGAATAATAGTCCATTGTGTACATGTACCACCTCTTCTTTATCCATTCATCTACTGACAGACACTTTGGTTGCCTCCATATCTTGGCTATGGCAAATAATGTGGCAATAAACATAGTGGTGCATATACCTTTTCAAATCGAGATTGTTTTATTCAGGTAAATTACTAGAAGTGGAGTTACTGGGTCACACGGTATTTCTACTGTTAGTTTTTTGAGGAGCCTCCATTCTGCTTTCCACAGTGGTTGCACCAATTGACATTTCCACCAACAGCATAGGAGGGTTCCCTTCTTTCCACATTAACTGCACTAGTTGGGGTGAGGATTTAATAATGCAGATAACTGTGTTGTATACTTGAAATCAGTATAAGATTGTATATCAACTATGCTTCAATAAAAAAAGAGCATTTTGGTTGTTCATATGGATGGTATTATTGCTTCTAAAAAGACATACTTATATCATCAACATGAATTATTCTCCAAATTCCTTAATTCTTTAAGGGGAAAAAGTTTAACACAAGAACACCTATGTTAAATGACAATTTTGCTTTTCATTTTAAAATTAAAAAATATAAAACAAATATTTTCATAATATGGAAACATGCATAAAAATATCCATTGCAGTAGAAATAAGAAATCTTATGTCAAAATGAAAATACATCAAGTTTTGAATACAATAAATTGTATAATAATGAAGATACTCAGAATCATAATATTCACCAGAAAAGACCACCAAAAGTATTTATAAGAGATCTTAGTATTCATCATCTCTTAGGAGAGCCCACTTTAGAACAGGACATAGGAAAGGGTAGCATTTCAGCAAACTCTTCAATATCTAAGAGATGCAAAGGCCTTTAAAAGAACCCTAAATATTACCTGAGAAGGTGTTAACATCATGTTTGGTCATGAAGTCCCATGTGACAATATAACTAATCAGAAGAAAAGACTGAAGCCATAATAAATCAGAGACCAGGAAACCACCTCCTCTCTCTGTTACTTACAGGTAATCTGTCTTCTCAGTACATCGGTACATTAGGAATATCCCCCTGTCCCTGACCCTGGATAGCAGCCAGGCTTTGTGGAATCTGGTAGAGTCCCCGATGTCACAAAGTAACTTCGTTATTGTGGCCCACTACATACCATCTCTTTCAAGGCTTCATACATCTGCCTCAGGAACTCTTGGAACCTAGGCAGATGGAGGCAGGTGTCCTGCTGGGCTTCCAGTGTGGAGGCCTGGTCCCACACTGAGAGTTTCCACATCCAAAACTGGTAGTCAGAAGAAAGGCTGACCGCATCTTGAGCCATCTCCAAGAAAGAACAAAGATGCTGTACCTTCCCAGAGGCCTGCCAAACACTGAAGGAAACTGGGCGCACGTCAATCTATAAGAAAAAGAAAAAGGGAAACCTTTTAAAAGCATCATTTATCATGCCTTCAAATCCACGGCAGAGAGGGTGATTGCAAGGGACTAAGATAATCTCCTTCTGAGGAGTCATCTCTGAATCACCTGAAATGTGTCACCCAGCTGTGGCTCCAATTCTTACCATCTTCCCTTTTTACTGTGAGTAGTATCATTACACTAGAAATCACTGCACCTCTGCAGGCACATGCTAATTATGCACAAAAAAAAAAAGATAATACTGTATATCGTCTTTTTAAGATTGAGCTGTTTTAAAATGTTCTGACTATGAAGTTCATTTGACTATTTTAACAAAATGGGAAATCAAAAACATCCATGGGTGTTTAATAATAGTCTGTGTCTAAGAAATGTTTTTGAGGTTCTAACATTTTATATGCATTTCTGACTTCTCATTTAGGTGTTAAAAAAAAAATCTCTATGCATTACTGTCTAATGAATTTTCTTCTCAGTTTTCTTCACTTCTTAGAAAAAAAAGAATTCATTCCACATGTACCAATTTGAACAATCTGTTTAATTAAAGACTGCTGTGTATGTTTGATCTCAATTCATTCACAAGAATATTTTAATAAAATATGATAAACTCCAATTACTGAGGAGGTATACAAGCCCTAAATGACCAAAAATAAGAACTCATCAACTTGCCTTACCACACCTGAACCACATGTGAAACAGAAGAGCAGAATTACACAGTGAGCACGTGCCTCAACTCCATCCACTTCTTTCCGTCTCCACTGTCACCATCCTATCCCGTCTACTTACTCCCTAGAGTCTTCTAACTGGTCCCACCTGCTCCTGTCAATTCATTCCCTACATAGTCAACAAAAGCCACTTTCCCAGATGTAAATCAGACCCAGCAAACTCTGGCTTGAACTACCCCACCACCTCCTTGGAAAGAATCCTAGCTCCCTGAAGACAAGACCAGCACTTCTCTCCAAAGCCCTGGACACATGCAGCTCCTCCCCAGCCCCCCACCACCCACGGTGCCCCTCCCCAGCCTGCACACCCAAGCCCTGCCCCTCTTCTACTCTGTCGTGTAACACAGCAAACTTTCCCTGCCTTCAGGCCAGGCCTTTCAGCTGATTCCTCCACAGCTCTCATCCCACCAGTAACTACACTGGGCATTTATCTGCTCACTCCGCTGCATGTAAATTCATGATCTCCTAGAATTTAGCACATGCCCAGCAAACACAATAAATGCTAAATGAAGGAGTGAATAATTCACTGACATTTTTCAAAGTATAGCTCTGAGCTGAATGTCATAACATTTTTTGAGAGAGAGCAATTTAACTTTTAAAAGGTAACACTATCTTCCCAGTGGGTTCCAGCCCTGGGCAAGTTCACTATGGATTCGATGTGACAAAAAAAATGACAGTAGAATGTTCTTGGGGTGAAAAGGTTATACCCAACTTTATTTCCACAGTGGCAGGTCAATCACTAAAACCCCGTCCACTCAGAGCAAGTCTGCATGCAGGAAGCCAATCTCGGCCTCTGGGCCCCTCTGCCCACACAGCTGTCCTCTGGGTCTGTCTCCAGTTCTGTCACCACTCCAGCTTCTGCTCTACTCTCCTGCAGCCTTGCAGCCATGCCAGCAAGTTATCCAAAGCACTGGGCAGGGCTCTCTATATAAAGTCAATAACAACTCATTGTCCACACGTGTATAGTGAGCTTGCCAACCAGAGCCAGGTGAGAATCCTGGCCACAGGAACCTTCATTTTATCCACAAACTCCCACAAAAAGACATTTTTAAAGGCATTTTTATGTTATCTATGTAAAAATTATTATATCCCATTTTATAAATACAGTAATAGTAGCTTTTACATACATACAATTACTATGCTCTTGGCGATGCATTCAAATGCATTATGCACACTAGTTAATTTAATCCTCACAACAATCCTGTGAAATGGGTACTATTAATTATGCTCATTTTACACAGGCACAGAGAGATTACTTAATTGCCAAAAATGAGACTCTGTAAAAGCCGAAAGGAAGTAACTGCTAGTAAATGGCAGAGCTACAACAGTTGGATTTGAATTCAGAGTCCAGCTCTAAAGTTTGTGTCCTTAAACAAAGAAATAAACTGAAGAAACAAACTGATGTATTTCTTATATGTTTATATGGCTCTAGATGCAGATTAGTTTGGATATCTGGGGACACTAAATTGAAGAACTTTTTGATAGAAAAGAAATGTTATTTTATTATAACAAAAGTACAAACACCCTTTTGCTTACCAATGGAAATGAATCTGATTGTTTTAAATGGAAAAAGCTCTGGGGTCATGCAGCACAGTGGTCCTGGCCCTGGTACTCTATCGCAGCCTGTGAAGTGGGTGAGGGCTTGGGGGTGAGGTGCTACTGGTATTTAGTCTGAGACCTGAGTCTCTGAGGTCCCACAAAATACAGCTCTGGCACATGCTCCCACCTCTCGCATTACCTCTCCCTAGCTGACCACTGTCTAGTCCAGGCCACAGTAGGAGTCAGGGATGCCAACATAATGCCACACTTAAGAACAGCAGCCCCCAAAGAAAAAGGCCTCCCTCCTTTTAATGGGCATTTATCCCTACTGAGAGATGCTGACCTGATGGGAATCTCTGGAATGGGCATCTGTTGGTTTACCTGTTGAGCATTCCTCCTCCCTTCTTTTGGTTGTTGCTTTTCCTTAGGAAAGTACCTGTAACTCCAGGTAAAAATCCCGGGGCAAAATACCTTTGAAACTGAAATCAGTCAAAGGAAGAAATTAAGTTTAAGAAACCCGTTTACTTCTTACAAGCAGTTGTCCCGCTCTCTCTCGACCCAGCCGCAGCAAAACTCCACTCAACCTTTCAGGTCCAGATAAGCCCTGTTCGCCCTTGTAAATTACCTATTGATGTGGAGAAGGACTACTTCTCTTCACCCCTTGGAAACACCTACTGATATGGAGATGCACTAAAGCCAGGTGAGAGATTCTAGTAATATTGCAATTTTACCCACAGTACCTCCTCTCCTCCATTCCCCAAGTCTTGGTGAGTCTATTAATCAAGGGGCCTTGTGCCATCAAGTAAGGGATGGGATGATGATTCAAGTCAGGCAAACCAGACTCATCTGGGAATCTGGATTTTGTGTAGATTGCTGTAGGGATGGATCTAAGGCATTCAAAGATCCTGTTGGTCTAGATCCCTGGAGCTTCCCTGTCATGTCCTCCACCCAGGTTTGGCTTTTCCTGAATTCTGTCAGCTACCCAGGGGCCTTCCAATATTATTTTCTTTTTTATAGCTTAAATTAGCCACTATTGGCTTCTGTGATTTTTCAACTGAAAACCACAAACTGAATCAGTCTCATATATACTGATACAGTATCTGATACAAATACGTACCTGATACAGTAGCCAATATAAACTGGTACTTGATACAGTATCTGTTACAAACTGGTACCTGATAGTGGGTTGTAGACAACAGACCTTTGGAGAAATGAGGGGAGCTTAGAACTGGTTACTGAGCCAAGGCAGGGAAATTATATACAAGTGAAGCTTGTGTTCCTATTAGGGAAATGGAACCAGAAGTCCATGGGATAAGAAGGTAATACAGATCAATGATGAATCGTCTGCAGTCAGGACCCCTGACTTCTTACACTCCTCTAGTAGGAATGGCCAAGTGAAAAGTCACTGGACTATCAAAAAAATAATGCTCTACCTCTGGTGATTTGTAGAGAACCCCACTTCCCCAAATGAAGGGCCAAAGAGTTTTAGTCAATAGTATTAGGCTATCCTGAACTGAATCAAGTGATGGCTCCAATTCTAGCTGCACGTCTGGTGTGGGTCCCAGCTGAAGCCAATTAATACCACCCTTGGCACTACATTGCAGTTATGAAGCTGGAAAAGCAGTCCTTCACTGGGATAAACTGGGGACATGAGAAAACATTTCACTTTGACCTGCCTCAAAGATACTAACTCAGGACACAAGATATTACACTGTTTTACCATGCTGAAGGGGTCAGGCTCCTAGGACCTGGAGAACAGGAACATCTGGTTGTCCTGCATGTGCTCTGACAGTGGGCTAGAAATCCCCTGAACACACAGGACCTGGCACTTTAGGAAGTTTCTTAGGATCCAAAGGTCCATTCCCTTTGAACACCCTCTGAATGAGGATACAAAAGAAACTAGAACCTGTGGTTGCCCCACTAAGGAGAACTGGGGAGCTGGATAGTAAGCACAGGAAAGAACGTAGGTTTTATTGTACAACTTTCTGCACTTTCTCAGTTTAATGCCATGTATACTAATTACTGACTCAAGATTAATAATAAACAAAAAATTTATTATTTTTTTGCAAACAGCTATACCTCATACCTGCCAAAAGGCAAAATGCTGGGCTGATCTATCTGGGATTCTGAAGGCAACATACACTGCATGGGTTTCAGACCACTTTCCTGCTGCTGGGTGATGAGAAAATAGAGGCAGAGCCTGGAGCAAGAATCACTGCACAGGGTCTGTGGTGAAGTGCTCTGCTCACCAGCTCACATGACCCAGGGAATCCATGCTACTGAAAGCCTGTGTGGAGATCCAAATTCAGGGAGAGCCTATGGCAGGCCTCAGTGACTAGACCATCTTCCAACCCACAAAGTCAGGTGTGCTCAGCAGTACCACACCATTGCATGCCCAGTACCCCAAATGCACACCCCACACACCACCATCGCCTGGCATTGCACCATCACCTGGCACTGCACCATGTGCACATTTTCACCCACTTGGTCAGAACGCAGGAGTGAAATATTGGATGCTAACTGTATACATCTTGCTATGTCATGTAATTTTTTAAAATTCCCTTTGCTTTCATTTTTTCCTCTCACTACTACTGAACATATAGAATATATTATTAGTAGATAAATTTTCTAAAGTTTATAATTTATAGACTATAACAGATGGGAAGAGGAACTGACATCCAGAACTCCTGGACTAGACACTTTAACCAGGCATTACTTTGGATTATCTCCCTTTTTGAGGGAAATCTAATTATGTTAGTTGGAAGTGTTTTAAAAATGCTGTAGATGGAAAGCAGTAGGCTTGAATGTGCTGAGCTACCAACAAGTGAACCGTGGTGGTATCTGTGGCTTCTGCCTGCCTAGCACCCTTTTCTTCTCCTTTTAATGTATATGCACCTGACTTTTACCCCAAAGAACTGCCCTCTGCCTCTCCATATAGACTAGTGACACTGTGGGTGAGGTGTGCCTCCTTAAGTGGGGGAATACACACATCTACTAGCTAGGAAAAAGCTAAGCTAATAAAATGCTCTGCCTCTCTAGCTGACATCATTCAAGAGATGACTTTCGACAGGGAGAGGGACTTATGACAGTCTCACTTAGCATAGGCTATGTGATACAAGAAAAATTTTGTTTATGATTTTTTTAGTAACTGTTTTAATGAGTATTTTTAAATAAGCAAAAAAGTAGACAAAACAGCCAAATGAACCCCTATGTACCCAGTATCTAGTTCAAACAAGTATCAAATTTTTCCATTTTTAAAGCAAATTACAATATCACTCTACCCTATATACTTTGATTTGTATCTTTTTATAAGGACTTTAAAAAGGAAGAAACTTAACTAAAATATCTCTTTCATACCCAATAAAGCCAACATAATGTCATCTAGTAGCCCATCTAGGATCAAATTTCTTAAAACTTTCCTTTTATATTTGGGCTGTTAATTAGGATACAAACAAGATATGCACATTGCATATGGTAAATATCAATATTTCTCCCTTAACCTGTAACAAAATAATATAAAAATAAGTCTCCCTTAAAATAACAATTACCCTGCCCTTTTTAAAAACCTTTTTATATCACTTATCCCTTGAAAAACCAACACATCTGACCTATAGATTCTCTTACACTTGTGCATTTGGCTAAATGCATTCATGTGCTGCTCTTTCACGTTTGCCATCCCCTGTATGTTGTTTACAAACTGAGAGCTGGATCTGTAGGTTTCATTAGATTCAGGGCTAATCCTTCCATGAGAGTACCTCACTGTGGTGTGATGGGGGCACTGATTCAAATCAAAGGCAGGTGATGTTTGGGTGTCTCACAATGCTGAAACTGATCAGTAGTTTCAGATATTATCAACTAATCCATGCATTATAAAGTTTACCATCAACTTTTTCCCTAAAGGTTTTAAAATCTACTGGTGATCATTTTAGATCTATTAGGGGTTGAAAATAGTGATTTTCTAATTTTAGGCATTCTCATGCTTTTATGATATTTCTTGATGTACAGAAGTTTTACATTTTTAGGTAGTCTGATTAACAAAAAATCTTTTCCTTTGGAATTCCAATGCATGTCTCTACAACCCCACAAATTGCCAAGTTTTACTAACCTCTCTGACCTTTTGTAGCTCAGGGTCTTGGTCTCCCCCAGCTTCTCAAGAAATGGCAAATGCCTCAGAGTGAAGAGTAGCTGTGGAGTGTCTGCTCAGTGCTCTGAGCTTTCTTCACTCAGGTTCATAACCCTTGAGTCCTGAGTTCCTTTGCAGTTCTTCAGTGTCTTCAAAACATGGCTCTTTTAGCCACTCTAAAACGGCTGGAAGTGAAAGTCTACAGTAAGTTTTCTTGATTAACCAGGATAAGTGAAGTAAGCAGAAGTATGGTACAAAATATACTCAGTGTAAACATACTTAGTTAAGGTTATATCCAGTATCAGTGCTACTTCAGATAATGATAGACTGTATAAGTGAGACATCCTTCCTGCTTAAAGTTGTTCTATAAACTACATGAAATATAAAAACATTATTCAAAAATTATGAAACAATCTGAAAGACAGTGTGGAATTATCAGAGAATGATCTTGGCACAGAGGGTAGCAGGCCTAGGGAGGCATTTCTGATCCTGAAGGAGTGGTTAAAAGGCAAAGCTGCTCTTTTGACGGCCCACTGCCAAGGGGAGTCCTAGCAAACCACCCACACTAGGGTGGGACCCAGGAAGATGCACCCTAAGAGGATGGTGACCCAGAAGTAAACCAGCCTGCACAGAGACTTCAGCCTAACTGAAAATGAAATGAAATTAAGGCGGTCCCAGGCTGTCAGTGCCGTCAAGTATCTGGGAGATGCAAACAAAATCCTCTCTGGAGGAAGAGAACATCATATTAGGTTTCTAATAATTTCTAAAAATAACTCTTCAAATACAACAAAAATTATAATTAAGGACAGCCAAGCACACAGGAAGAAAAAGAACACATGAACATGAACACAAAAATAATGGACAAGAAGCAAAGGGAAAAAGCAGAGGTATTTCAGACAGTTTAGAAGCTATATAAAAATCACAAAGTAAGTAAGAAGGTCCTTTATGAAGATAAAGGCCAAAATTTCACTAAGGAAGTGAAAACTATAAAAATGACTCTCTAGATGAAAAAGAATACAATAGAAATTCCAGAACTATAAAACAATATAAATGAAGTTAAGAATTCAACAGACGGGTTTAATAGCTGATTAGACCAAGTTGACAATAGTGAACTTGGAGGATACATCAGAAGAAACTACTCAGAATTCAACATGGAAAGTAAAAACAACAGGAAAACACAGAGACATGGATAATATACATGAAAATACAGCAAGATGGCCAGAAAACATATCTTCAATATGATGAAAGGACAAAAGGGCCAGCTAAGTTACTATATCCAGTTAACATACTCTTCAAGAATCAAGATTACAAAAAGCTTATAGTAAACCTGCTATAAAGATGCTCTTTAGGCAGATGGAAAATGATCTCAGATGCAAGTCTGGAGATGTGAGAAGAAATGAATAACATCAAAAATGGCAGATGGGAAAATTTTAATTCATATTTATGATATAAGAATAGTATCACTGAAGTTCTAAATACATGCAGAAATTAAAATATAAAAACAACAGTATATAAGCCACAGTTAAACAATTCTAAAGTCCCTGCATTTTCCAGGAAAAGGGAGGATGAAAGTGTTAACATTAGACTTTAGTAATTCAAGAATGCATATATGATTTCTAAGATATCCATTAACAGAAAATTCAAAGGCAGTATATAATTTCTAAATTATCAGGAGAAAAATTTATAATAAAAAGCAACCCCCAAAAGGGGAAGTTTGGAGAGAAAAAGGAATACAGAATAGACCAAAAAAAGACACAGTAGGATGGTAAATTTAAACTCAAATATATCAGTAATTATATAATATGTAGATGAATTAAATTCTCCAAGTAAAAAACAAATATTCTAAGTTTTTAATTTAAAAAACTATATGCTGTTACAAAAGACACATCTTAACACATAAGAATATAGGGATACAGAGAGACTAAAAGAATAGAGAAAAAGGGGAAAGAATTACCATGTAAAACTAACCAAAGGAATCAAATAATAAACAGTACCAATTCAAATATACTTCGGGGCAAAAAGTATTACCAGATGTAAAGAGATAAAGATGTATTAGAGGTAAATGATAAAATGTTCAATTCACCAGGAAGATGAAACTATTCTAAATTTTCAAGCACCTAATAAGATAGAAATGTAAAACAAACTATAAGACTCAAAGCACAGCAACTGATATAACTACAAGGAGAAATAATTAATTTTAATCATAGTGGGAAATTTTTTTAATTGAAATATTGTTGATATACAATCTTATACTGGTTTCAAGTATACAACACAATGGTTCAACAGTTACCAATATAATTAAATCTATAACCCCTCTAATGCAGTTACTATCTGTCAACATAGGAAGATGATGCAGAATCACCAACTATATTCTCCATGGTGTACTACTATCACCGTGCCCAAATTATATTATGATTAAGAAATTTTGTGCCCTTTTATCCCCCTTACCCTCCTCATCCACCCACTTTAATCCCTCCCCAGTGATAACCACCAGTCACATCTCACTGTCTATGAGTCTACTGCTGTTTTGTTCATTCTTTTTTTGCTTCATTTTTAGATTCCACAAACAAGTGAAATCATATGGTATTTGTTGTTCTATGCCTGGCTTACTTCACTGAGCATAATACCCTCTAGATCCATCCATGTTGCTGCAAATGGCAGGATTTCTTTCTTTTTTCCTGGCTGAATAATATTCCATTGTGTATACAGACCACTTCTTCATCCATTCATTGACTGATGGACACTTAGGTTGGTTCCATACTTTGGCTATTGTAAATAAAGCAGCAATAAACATAGGGGTTCATATAACTTTTTGAATAAACAAATTTCCATCAGGTATAAATTCCTAGAAGTGGAATTACTGGTGGAATGCTATTTCTATTTTTACTTTTTGAGGAACCTTTATAGTGCTTTCCACAGTGGCCATACCAATTTATGTTCCCAGTGTAGAAGGGTTCCCTTTTTTCCACATCCTTGCCAACACTTATTATTTCTTGTCTTTTGCAGAGTGGCCATTCTAACTGGTTTGAGGTGATATCTCATTATGGTTTTGATTTGCATTTCCCTGATGATTAGCAATGTGGAGCATCTTTTCTTGTGCCTGTTGGTCATCTGTATTTCTTCTTTGGAGAAATGTCTGTTCAGGTCCTCTGTCCAGCTTTTAATCAGGTTGTTTTTATTTTGGTGTTCAGGCATATGAGTTTTGGGATGTTAACCCTTACTAGATAAACTGTTTATGAATATATTCTTCCATACTGTAGGATGCCTTTTTATTCTGTTGATGGTGTCTTTTGCTATGCAGATGCTCTTTAGTTTGATGTAGTCCCACTTGCTCATTTTTTATTTTTTCTCCCTTGCCCAGGGAGATGTGTCCAGAAAAAAATTGTTCATGCTTATGTTCAAGAGATTTCTGCCTATATTTTCTTCTAAGAGTGTTATGGTTTCATATCTTACATTCAGATCTTTGATCCATTTCGAGTTTACTTTTGTATATGGGGTTAGACAGTAATCCAGTTTCATTCTCTGGCATGTAGCTGCTTAGTTTTTGAGGAAGCTATCCTCTTCCCACTGTATATTCATGGCTCCTTTACCATATGTTAATTGACCACATACATGTGGATTTTTATCTGTGTTCTCTATTTTGTTCCATTGATCTATGGTTCTGTTCTTGTGCCAGTATCATACTGTTTTGACTACAGTAGCTTTGTAGTATAGCTTGAAGTCAGGGAGTATAATTTCCCTCAGCTTTGTTCTTCTTTCTCAGGACTGCTTTGACTATTTGGAGTTTTTAATGATTCCATGTGAATTTTAGGATTATTTGTTGTTTCACTGAAAAATGCTGTTGGTATTTTGATAGGAAGTGCATTGAATCTGTACATTGCTTTGGGCAAGATGGCCATTTTGACAATATTAGTTCTTTCAAACCATGAACATGGGATAGAGTTCCATTTATTGGTATCATTAACTTTTCTCATGAGAATCTTACAGTTTTCAGATCAGAGTACAGGTTTTTCACCACCTTGGTTCAGTTTATTCCTAGGTATTTTTTTCTTTTTTATACAATTGTGAATGGAATTGTTTTCTTGCTTTCTCTGCTAGTTCATTGTTAGTATATAGGAATGCAACAGATTTCTGTGTATTAATTTTGTATCCTGCAACTTTGCTGAATTCAGATATTAGATCTAGTAGTTTTGGAGTGGATTCTTTAGGGTTTTTTATGTACAATATCATGTCATCTGCAAACAGGGACAGTTTAACTTCTTCCTTGCCAATCTGGATGCCTTTTATTTCTTTGTGTTATCTGATTGCCATGGCTACGACCTCCAGAACTATGTTGAATAAAAGTGAGGAGAGTGGGCATCCTTGTCTTGTTCCCAATCTTAGACAAAGGCATTCAGCTTTTTGCTGTTAAGTATGAGGATAGCTGTGAGTTTGTTACATATGGCCTTTATTGAGGTACTTGCCCTCTATACCAATTTTGTTGAGAATTTTTATCATGAATGGATGTTGAATTTTGTGAAATGCTCTTTTAGCATCTATTGAGATGATCATGCAGTTTTTATCCTCCTCCTTGTTAATGTAGCATATTACATTGATTGATTTTCAAATATTGTACCATCCTTGCATCCCTGCAATAAATTCCACTTGCTTGTGATGCATGATCTTTTTGATGTATTTTTGAATTCAGTTTGCTAATATTTTGTTGAGGATTTTTTCATCAGGGATATTGGTCTAAAATTTTTCGTAGTGTCTTTGTCTGGTTTTGGTATTAGAGTGGTGCTGGCCTCACAGAATGAGTTTGAAAGTATTCCTTCCTCTTCTACATTCTGGAATACTTTAAGAAGAATGGGTTTTAGCTCTTCTTTAAATGATTGGTAAAATTAAGCTGTGAAGTCGTCTGATCCTGGACTTTTGTTTGTTGAAATTACAAATTCAATTTCATTACTAGTAAGAGGTCTGTTCGGATTTTGTTTCTTCCTAGGTCAATCTTGGAAGCTTGTATTTTTCTAGGAATTTGTTCATTTTTTCTAGGTTTATTATTTAATTTATTGGCATATAATTTTTCATAAAATTCTCTGATAATTCTTTGTATTTATGTGGTATCTGTTTTGACTATTCCATTTTCATTTCTGATTTTATTTATGTACTTTTTCTTTCTTTATAAATTTGTGTATGGGCTTGTCTA